CGACAAATCTATACGAGAATCCATGATCAGAGGCGGATATTGGGGCATGCCACTTTGCACCGTATTATGACACGAATCTTCCAACATTCCACCCGAAGAGATCCTTGCAGACAGGGGCATTCCTCCTCCCCCCTTATGGAGCAACTCAAGCAAATTCCTGTCATTCGTACAAATTCAATCAAGCTAAAAGCGTCATGATGTTCACTTTGGTTCAGTTAATGTCCTCGGAATCATAATCATTCCCTGCAGATGTTTAAACACGCAACTCCCCAGCAATAAAGTGAACTTGGGGCATCTGAAGACACTAATGTCCATTTCTTAATCCCCAAGTGGTTCGTGAAGTAAGGAAAGTCAGACGGGGCCCTTTCCTCCCTGGCAATAGGGAAAACTTGGGGCATTTGATGAGATCCATGTCTCTATTCAGTCATCCACAAGAAGTCCAACACATGAAGGAAGTCAGATGAAGCTACTCCTCTTCAACAAGATTTAATCCCCAGTGATCTCGACAAGGATATAACTCAATTCTCTCAGTTTTCAAGCACCAATCCATATTGGTGTCTCAAGACGATGAGCAACGGATCCCAATGAGTTTTGGCACTTTACATACAATAATCATCACGACATATTGCATTACATCCTCAAACTCATAGCATATTTATGGATCATCTCAAATGCATATGAAGCATGAGCCAGATCAATTCCCAAATCAACAAGACATCCTCACAAAGAATATCCTCCCCATAATTCCCAATTAACAGCTGTTATTACGTTACTAACTGAAAAAAACCAGGGTGCTAGTACGTTGTACTCCCCCAACTCTCAATACTCACGTTATCTTTTCTAGGGTCGTAGGTCGCTCGTAGGTCTTACCCTCACGTTATCTTTTCTAGGGTCATAGGTCGCTCGTAGGTCTTACCCTCATGTTATCTTTTCTAGGGTCGTAGGTCACTCGTAGGTCTTACCCTCATGTTATCTTTCCTAGGGTCGTAGGTGGCTCGTAGGTCTTACCCTCGCGTTATCTTTCCTAGGGTCGTAGGTCACTCGTAGGTCTTACCCTCATGTTATCTTTGCTAAGGTCGTAGTTCGCTCATAGGTCTTACCCTCACATTATCTTTGCTAGGGTTGTAGGTCGCTCGTAGGTCTTACCCTCATGTTATCTTTGCTATGGTCGTAGGTCGCTCGTAGGTCCTACCCTCACGTTATCTTTTCTAGGGTCGTAGGTCGCTCGTAGGTCTTACCCTCACGTTATCTTTGCTAAGGTCATAGGTCGCTCGTAGGTCCTACCCTCACATTATCTTTGTTAGGGTCGTAGGTCTCTCGTAGGTCTTACCCTCACGTTATCTTTCATAGGGTCGTTGGTCGCTCGTAGGTCTTACCCTCACATTATCTTTCATAGTGTCGTAAGTCGTTCGTAGGTCTTACCCTCACGTCATCTTTGCTAAGGTCGTAGGTCGCTCGTAGGTCTTACCCTCGCTTTATCTTTTTTAGGGGCGTAGGTCGCCCGTAGGTCTTACCCTCACTTTACCTTTCTCTTGGATCATAGATCATACGTCCATATTTACCCATTGTCTTTACCTTTCTCTTGGGTCATAGATTATACTCCGATCTTTACCCATTATCTTTACCTTTCTTTTTGGGTCGTGAAATACCGCTTGATAGATTCTCTGTCATCATCAAGTTCTACTCATTGCATTTAAGTTATCATTTTGTCAAGTAATTCTACTTTCAGTCATCACGACATCATCAACCATATCCTTTCAATCACCCTGCCACTCATTCCCTCAAGAACCTTGTATTTGCACCATTACCCCAATACAAGCTACCCTTTTTTAACCATGTTTTATCCATCATGATCAGTCCACCAGAAGACCAGTTTGTCTTTCCCCAAGCAGACATTCACACCAGGGAATAAAACTCACACCATCTCTCCAGGGCAAATTTCGGGTCCTGTATTTAATCATCTTCCACCTTGAACTTACGAAATGCCGACGCTAATCTTGTATTCAGGTTTAAGACGATTAAATAGGGGCAGCTGTCGTACCCCAAATTTGCCCTATCTCTTTTATTTTTGTCTGGCTTTGAACTTTGCATTCCATTTGCATCATTTTATTATTCAGTCATTTGCATATCCTACATCTCATGGGATCGGGCGCTTTGGTTTAAAGTTTTAGGGTTACGCCCTCTTTATGTCTAATCTTGTTTTGAGGTTTTCTTATAAGGTAAAAAGGAAACGCATCTAGTTCTCGATTAGTGGATCGTGGAACGAATTTTGTCATCACGTTGCAAGGTTAATTCTCTCTCAAATTTATCGGAGCCTGGAATAGGGTTTATTTCCCTATGTTTGTTGGTCAAAAGGCTAGGGTTTTCGGGTCTTTGGTTTCTGGGAAGATGTTTCTCTCGCCAGCCTCAAAGATGGCTCAAAGCTCAGTGCGTTAGGTCAAGAATTTCATCTCCTCGCATTTCAAGTTTCTTCTTTAAGCCTCTAAGTCATTGAGTCGAGAATTTTAAGTTTGAATTGATAAATGTGGAGTTCGGGCACTTCAGGAAAGGAGATTAAAGGTTCATGATAATCAAGACATGTTTTTGTTGCTTAAGTTACAAGTTATTGTGGGCTGAATATCAAAATTAGGTTTCTGGTCGAGAAGTGCGAGTGTGGTTCAGGCATGATATGAAGATGAAGGTTCAAGCGACCGGTGTTTTGGGGTTCGAATTAATCAGTGGAATTAAATTCTTAAGCATTTATTTTGATTGAGAGTTTGATTGGGTTTTGAAAGATAAGGTGCATTGATTTCTTGAAATACAAGTTACAACGTTTTTTATTCATGAGTTTTCGAGATTCAAGTTATAAAAGCAAGATGGGCACTAAAATCTTTCAATTGGAAATTGTTTCTTTCATTCAAAATTCAAGAGTTTGTTTAATTTTCACATAACCAATTCATTCAAAATAATTCGTTCAAATTTGTGTTCATTACATTTTTGAGACAATGTTACAAGGCATATTACAGTGTGAAATACAAATTACATTTGTTCGTTTACAAAAAAAGAGAGAAATAATTTGTGTTTCTTCAAGTCTTCATCTTCAAGTCATTCGTCCTCACCATGGTATTTTCATCAGTCAATCTCGCTGTGAACCGTCCAATACTCTTGCTCATGAAACAAGGAAAAAGAAAAAGTTAGCAATTAACATATGGAAAATTCTAAGCAAGGTTTAATTGATAAAGGGAATTGGTGCCTCATCATAAGGGTTTGCCTTTGGAATCAGTTAGGGAGTTTATTTTATCATGGCTAGTTTTCTCCCAAATTGCAAATCACAAATTTGTCCTCTTTGGTTCACAAAAGGGGAGAAAAGAAGAATAGCCAATAAGAAAAAGCCACAGGCCAGCAAACAAAAAGAAAGTAACAGCTTTAATAAGGTAGCCAAATGAACAAACAACAGCATAGCTACAATAGAACAGGCAGCGCGCAAAACAACAACAGCGCAGGCTTGCAAGCATGGCAATAGTGTTGTAGCATAGCAGAACAGCTGTGAAAACCAGCCAACAACAGCTACACAAACAGAAACAAGTATAGCGGAACAGTACAAAATGCAACAGCAGCCCAAGGCAGCATGGCAACCAACAAGCCAAAACAACAAAAACCAAATCAACTCAACAACAAATCAGCAAGCATCAAACAAGACAAATAAAATAGTGCAAACTAGCAATAGCCTACAATACCCTATGCATCATCATGTCCTAAAAGCAAACCCTTCATAACGTTAAGAAAAAATCCAAACAAGATTTACATCATTGAGAGGTAAGAGATAAAAAGAAAAACCTGCATACTGCATAACCAAGCCAACCTTAAACCTGTCCAAAACTAACCCAAAATGACATCAAAACAAGACAAATCAAAACCTGCGCATTACTGTCCAAAACCAGCTACTATAAACCTGCAAAAATAGTCAAAATGCAGCCCACAAAACAACAAAAAAAAACTATTGCTGTAACATTTGCACCAAATTAGCAAGTTAAAACCTGCATCCTGAAAAGCAAAAAATCAGTTTACTGCATTCCAATCTGATGTTTGATATAATATATGTAGAGGGATGGAGATACAAGGAGGAGACTTAGAAAAACAAGACAGTAGGAAAATACATACAAGAACAAAGAGGAAAATTTGTTTGATACCTCCAAAAAAAACTTCATTGCAATTTCACTCCTTCTCTTCTTTCAAATCAATTTTCCATGTCCTTCCAAGGTCTCAGTCGACCAAATGCTTCATTTGGCATGGGTGTTGAGGAGAACAGTAATCGTAACAACAACAGCTTTCCCAACTTCAACGGAAGATTCCATAAATCTAGCAGCATCACCAACCATAACTAACTCCAAACTGCCCTGTACTTCATGTATCCATATCCAAAACAGAAAATTAGTTACAACCAAAACTAACAGCTCCAACCTCCTAACTACTTCTAACAAACTTCTAGAAGACGTCTATAACAGGCAACTAATAGATTCAGAAGAGGGATTGACATTCATTATTCAACAGAGAGGAAAAAATCACATATACGATTATTCATTCAGAGAAAATTAAGGAGAAACTCACCATTTTTCTGAATCTTTCTCCTCTCTGACTCTACATTCCTCCTTTCAATCTTCATCTTCAATTATCGTTATCTTCATTCTTCATTCTTCTCTGAGAAAATTATCACCCAGAAAGACCAGAAGCTCCTCTTCAATATTTCTCTCTGAATCCTATCTTAACCTTCATTTTTTAATCTCCATCACTTTCTTCAATCCTAAAGAGCACCTTCACTCTGCAACGAATGTCCATCTTCATAACCGAAGTCACTGCTTCTGAAACCTTCATAATTCTTTGATTCGTTTTCTGCAATTCCTTCTGCAACTTGGAATGAATCCATCAATGCAACTAATGAAATAATCTTTATCTCCCGACATCAAAAAACAACAAAATACCATCATCATCATGAACGAATCTGTGACAGACCACAACACATCATGCACAAGAGCTCAGTAGAAATTCGCAAAGAAACGCAACTGAGGGAAGAAGATCGGAGAAGTGCGAATCGGAAATGTTCAAGGTAAAACAATTACCTGAGTTCCCTGTGTCCGTTTTTCTCGCAGTTTATACATGATGGATGAGGGCACTTGAAGACAGTGACGAAGCCATGAGCGCGACACAGAGGCGAGCGGAGTCAAAGCGAATAAGATAAGTTAAAACATGTTATGTTGGATGAAGAACAGAGTTTGAATCACAAATCACAAACAAATTTGAGGCGTAGTTCACGACAGAGACAATCGAAGGAGAAATATGAAGTGAGTTATGGTGGAGACAGGCAAATAAGAGGAAGAGATTCGAGATCTCAAAGAAAGAGGCGCAATGAGAGAGGAAGAGAATTGAGGAAGCTAAGCGTCACATATAGTAACCCTAATCCCTTTTGTATTTTATATTTCTTTTTTTTTTCTTATAGTTTTATTTTTTCTAATATATGTTAATAAGAAAAAAATAAGGAATGGTATGGAGGATTGCTTAGATCGGACCACGACTATTTCCAAGTCCACCATCATGTTTTTGGCAGCTTTTGGATTGTGAAATGTTGGTGAACAAAACTAGCTGATGGGCTTAATATCAACTTGCTGCAGCATACCTCCTGGGCTCAACAATACACCCCCTCTGTTTTACTACTTTTACCTTTCCATGTTATTAATTTTAACTTCTTTTTTTTGTTTTTGTGATTTCAATTGATAATAAAAAGGTAGAAAATAGTAGAATATTTCTAAAAATTTTAGGTTTTCTCTTTAGAATTCTATTAGAGTTTTCTATTATTTTATGTTTAATAACCATTTTCATTTGTCATTTTAGCTGAGATTTTGTGATAGTATGTTGATGCAATTTTCGCAATGTGGGATGCTCGGGGATTAATTCTTTGATCGCTCACATGGAGCCGCTTCTGTGGAATTTTATTATCGCTTACGTGTTCTTGAAGAGGCAACGGACCTTCTCCATTCGGTATCATCACAACCTCATTTTATTCTTCATTTCTACACTTTACCGCCTTTCTAGATATCATGAGAAGTAGGAAATAAAGAGTGTGTGCTCGATGTCGCTGTTTAAAGACCTATAGCAGGCATTCCGCACTTCATTTTCTATATGTGTTGTGCTTGTGTTTGTTTACTTTCTTGTTGATCGATGAGTCACTCAATTTAGAAATTGAGATCATGACTTCTCTCTCATTGCATGTTCCCTTAGGATGCGCTTGCTCCATTCGGATGCAAGTTAGACCTTAGGTTGTAAACCATGCATGCTAACATTAGGTAGACGTTTCCCTTTAGTTTATCATTGATTTAGGGCTACCATTGTATGATAACATTAGGTTAGAGATAGGCTAGTCTCCCTTAGACTCTTTTCTTCCCCTTTTTGCATCCTTGCATCTAAAACTAAAACTCATTTTCTTAGCAAATCAAAAACATGCTAATCTCACTTAAACCCTTTTTTCAAGGTAATAAAACACAAATCAATTCAAATCATTTTGTGCGCTCAAGCACCTTTTCTCTAAAAACCCTTTTCAGGTAAGGACGTGATTAATTTACTTCTGTGCCAACACATAAGTCTCCAAAGGTTGAGATGCGATAGAAGGCGGAATTAACATTGTCCATAAAAAACACAAAACAAACAAAAACATGTGAGGAACTACGGTGTTCTGATTCCTTCATTGGATACGTAGGAAAAGGGTCGCGAAATCCTCACGAACACAATAATCAAAAACCTTTCATTTCCCCTTAAGCAAGCATAGTTGTAGATAAATACACCCTTTAAGACAAACAAACAAAATGGATCTCGTAGAGTACAACGGATGTGAGGGGTGCTAATACCTTCCCCTTGCATAACCGACTACCTTACCCTTTCTCTTGGTCGCAAGACCATCTTATCCATTCCCTTGTGGTTTTATCGATATTTCCCCTTCCTTCATACATCATTTATACAACACTGATACATTCAATCACAACATTTTGCATTACAACATACGCACACATCAGAATTATTCCAATAAAATATTAGTCTACTGCCATCAAAATTATTACCATATTGTAGAAAATACTTTTATCTTTCCAACGGTCCAAATGGCGCGTCAGATGGACACCTGAGTTAAAAGTTATGAGTTTTCAAGTTTTCAAAATGCTGTCAAACAGTGAGAAATCCATTGCACTAATAGAGCAATTGATTGCACCCTGTTTCAGGGGTCAAAAATCAAGTTTTTAAGAAGCACAATTGATTTCTCTTCTACTTCAATCGATTACTTACTGAAACAAAAGTAAAAATTCACCAAAATTGAACTGTTGAATTGATTGAACCTGCACTCCAATCGTTTGCACCCTGTGAAAAATAGTTTTATGAATTCATAAAAATAATAGTGCGAAAACCCATTTGTCTCAATTCCAAAAACACAAACTTCATGAAATATAGCACAATCAAACCCTAGATTATCATCCCCATCATCATACATCAATTACCACGCATATCAAACATCAATTATACACACAATGCATCAAAATCAAACATCAAAGGATAAAACCCCAAAACAACCAAATAGGGAGAAATCAAAAGCATACAACCATAGAACCTAAACACTACCATACATCATCATTAGGTAAACCCTTATAGAGTTAGAATTCCCCCTTACCTTAGATTGATGACGGTTCTTGATTCCTATGGTGAAACTTCTTGCATTAGCCTCCTAATGTTATTTCTCCTCTTCTCACTTTACGCTTCTTCTGTATTTCTGCGATTCCTCTCTAATTATCTATTCTCATTCTATTATATTTCCAAAATAACCTTAGTGTTCCCAATTAATTAATTATTTAATATTATCAAAAAATAATAATAATCCTAGAATTATAATAAAATAATTATACTAATCTATATTATTCCACACACTCCCATGATTCTACACTTTTAGCCATACACCCCTATAATCTCAACTTCAATCATTCTAAGGCATCTAGTTCCCACAAAGGCGTCACTCCACATCATAAAATTCAATAATTCATAAAATTACACTGCATCATTTAATTCTTTAATTAAAATAATTTTAAATAAATCGGGGTGTTACAGTGATCATTGACTACATTTTGGGTTATATATCTTGTCACAAATATTTTAGTCATGTGTGTATGATATATCTGATTCTCTCTATGTTGTCTTTTTCTTGTAATATTTATTAACTGTGTATTTACGATAATTGTTTCGTATGCGATTCTTATGGTGCTTGTTTAGTTCACTATTATGACATTCTATTTTTGGCTTTTGGTTTATCTTGGATTCAACTATTTGTGAGTGCTTTCTCTCTATCTATTTTTTTGTATTTTTTATATTCGTTAAAGGGGGGGAAGGTATCGAGATATTATCAATAATGATGCCTTGAATAATTGGTCGACATTGATCAAAAATGATATCTCAAATTTGTCAAACATAAAAAAGGGGGAGATTGAAAGTGCAATCCTAGTATTGTATGGTATCGTTTATTTGTTGTGATGTTTTTGCTAATTTGAATGTGTTTGTTATAGTTTGTTTGCGTGTTTGCAATTTGTTTATCATTTAATATTTGAGTATTTGTACATATACTTATTTCAATTGTATTATAACTGCTTTGGTTATTGTGTTCATATACCATTCAGAACCCATAATACTCAATAAATAAGAGTATTTAATCCATAATAATGCTCCTTTTTAGCCTAGCAATTTTCTTTTTTGTCGTTTCAACAGGTGTGGCTTGACTCACAAGTTAGAACACTTAAATCTAGGTGTTGAGTAACTTGATTCGAATCAAGTATTAATATTAATTTGAATAAGGAACCTTGTGGAAATTAGAATTTTTCGATGGATGAATTAATTCGAATTATTAAATGAACCTGATTCAAATCACAACCTCATGTGACTTGAAACAAGTGTTAATTCTGATTCAAAAATGATATCTCAAATTTGTCAAACATCAAAAAGGGGGAGATTGAAAGTGCAATCCTAGTATTGTATGGTATCGTTTATTTGTTGTGATGTTTTTGCTAATTTGAATGTGTTTGTTATAGTTTGTTTGCGTGTTTGCAATTTGTTTATCATTTAATATTTGAGTATTTGTACATATACTTATTTCAATTGTATTATAACTGCTTTGGTTATTGTGTTCATATACCATTCAGAACCCATAATACTCAATAAATAAGAGTATTTAATCCATAATAATGCTCCTTTTTAGCCTAGCAATTTTCTTTTTTGTCGTTTCAACAGGTGTGGCTTGACTCACAAGTTAGAACACTTAAATCTAGGTGTTGAGTAACTTGATTCGAATCAAGTATTAATATTAATTTGAATAAGGAACCTTGTGGAAATTAGAATTTTTCGATGGATGAATTAATTCGAATTATTAAATGAACCTGATTCAAATCACAACCTCATGTGACTTGAAACAAGTGTTAATTCTGATTCAAAAATGATATCTCAAATTTGTCAAACATCAAAAAGGGGGAGATTGAAAGTGCAATCCTAGTATTGTATGGTATCGTTTATTTGTTGTGATGTTTTTGCTAATTTGAATGTGTTTGTTATAGTTTGTTTGCGTGTTTGCAATTTGTTTATCATTTAATATTTGAGTATTTGTACATATACTTATTTCAATTGTATTATAACTGCTTTGGTTATTGTGTTCATATACCATTCAGAACCCATAATACTCAATAAATAAGAGTATTTAATCCATAATAATGCTCCTTTTTAGCCTAGCAATTTTCTTTTTTGTCGTTTCAACAGGTGTGGCTTGACTCACAAGTTAGAACACTTAAATCTAGGTGTTGAGTAACTTGATTCGAATCAAGTATTAATATTAATTTGAATAATGAACCTTGTGGAAATTAGAATTTTTCGATGGATGAATTAATTCGAATTATTAAATGAACCTGATTCAAATCACAACCTCATGTGACTTGAAACAAGTGTTAATTATGATTCAAATTAGATGTCTCTGTGAAGCCAATTTTGGGCTATGCTCAAATTGATTCGAATCAAGCATATAACTTGAATTAAATCACAAAATCTTGTGATTTGAATCATAATTTCTTCTTGACTCGAATCATAGTTTCACACATTCAATTTCCCATCTTAGATTTAAATTGTTGTTTCTTTAATGAAAGTAATAAGTGTGTGAAACATGTGGGTGAAACCCAAAGAGACAAATACGTCAATTTGTTTTCTCTCCTTTAGTGTGTCTATACCCATCACCATTAATATTTCTATTCTTCTCTAAAACAACTTATTTAGTGTAATCCATATCAGATTCACTTCTTTTGGTTGCATCTTATTGTTGTGTAATCCATGAAGACTTTGGCAAGATCAACTATCAAATTTTCGTAAGAAAGAGTTGGAAGTTATCCATCTTTGGTGGAGTTGTAGAAAGATTGCTCGCGGACAAAGTTGGAAGTTGTCCAATCAATGCTTAGCTAATGGAAGTCACTCGGACAAGAAATCGATGGGATCAGGTGGTTTGCCACATACGAATACTTAGAGCAGTTTATTGTGGATAGCAAGGTTATTGGATCAAGATCTTTATCTATCTTGTTTTTGTTAGCAGATTGAGTGTCTGCCTCAACAGAGGGAATTATCGTGTGATAGTTTGTTTTAACCAAAATGCTTGTATCAAAATTATCAAAATAGTGGAAGGTCATGATTATTTTCCAGTGGTTATTCACACCATTAAAGAGTGGAGTAGGCAAATCTAAGGCGAACGTTGAACCATTATATGAAGGTTGAGAAAAACTAAATAAAAGGGGGTTTGAATTCGGTTTTTAAAAACTTTTTCTTTTAAAGTGTTTCACTCAAACAATCAAAATAGAATCAATGTTATATAGAGAAATAATAGCACATTTGGTTTATACAAGTTCACCTTCAACAAGGCTACTCTTGTTCACCCGCTAAGGTGATTTTGCCTTAGAAAATGATTTAATCCAATAATCTTGAGAGATTTCAAACCGTTTAAGAGTTTAAAAAACACCTTATCCCTCTCAAGTATCCTGACTATTTACTCTAGCCACTTGAGGAATCAACAATAGACTAAGCGTTAGAAAACACCTTAGCTCTCTCAAGTATTCTAACTGTACCCTAGTCACTTGAGGAATACAATTCTCAAAAGAGTTACAATCAAATAGTGTTTACAAAAGTGCTTCTAGAATAAACAAATTACACCAATGTTAATTATAGATTGTTTAACACAAATAAGAGCAACAACTCTTGTTTCAAACAAATAATAATAACACAATAATGAGGAACAACTCTTGTGTTTTGATATTTTATTTTTCTTGTTTGATTTTGGCAGTGTTACTGTTCTTTCTTTCAAGTCTTGTATTTTCTAAATGAAGCAATTGATCTTGTATATAGGCGTTGAAGAAGTAGACCGTTGTAGTAGTAGTACACACTATCATACCTTAAATTTGTCCGCCCTATTTCTGACAGTGAAATTATTTTAAACTTGCGATTTATAATTTTTTTGGGTATTACTAACATTTAATTTAACAGTAATTTATGTTGCTTATTTAAAATATATAATAATATACTTTAAATTATTTGTATTTTTAAAATAACAAAATATTTTTCCACCTTCATATGCTTCTATATGTCTTTTTATCTCGAATAGAATGACATAATATAGTTGGTAAGAGAGTAAGACTTGTAAGTGTAAGGTCATAAGTTCAAGTCTCGTTACACTACTTTTTGATATTCATTTTCTTGTGTATTTTTTAAAAAAAAAAGGATAAAAAAAGTCATTTTCCAATTATTTTATTATTATTTTCATTTTCTATTTTAAGAGTATTTTAAAAAAAAAATATTTTTTTAAATCTTTGATTTTATATATTTAATAGTCAAGATGTTAAAAATAATTGAAATCTTTCAAAATCAATTTTTATTAATCATCAAATCAATCACAATATTGAGAAAAATCACAAAAGTGTCTAAGTTCATAATCGTGTCCTCCAAGTTTTAATCAAGTCTCAATTTATATAAATTTTTCTAAAAATAGAATAATTTTATTAAATTTCTGACCTAATTTTTATTTATAAATAGTCGTTCAATCTTCACAAATAGACATCAATAATTTTCTATCTCTCTCTTTCACAAATATTTTTCTATGTAACTTTTTTTTAATTTATTTTTAGTTTTTGTCTTGTACAGACACTTAACCCTATTATTGTCTTGAAGAGACAATTAACTACTTAAGCCCAAAATAACTAAGCCCAAAAATCAATTAATAAATTTAGGTTCAAATCAAATTTAATATTTTCAACAAAGATATTCTGAAAGATATTAAAAAATCTCTGTTGTATATTTTGTCCTGGTTGAACTTGCCATCTATACCTTATGTTAGTTTTCCTCTTTTTGAAGGTTGAGACACGAGGTTCAAAATCTTCCTTGTACATACAAATGTCGGCATGATGCTGCTATACCAAGTACTTCTTTAGAGTACTGGTATGTTCTTGTATTGTTAATGCCAGTTTTTCATAATGGTGCTTTTGCACTTCCAGCTTTTGTTTTAAAAAGTTTTAGTTTGAATTGTAGTTATTTGTGTGTGCAGGATTATAAAACTACTACTTCACCACCTATCTATATTAGTCCACTTGACTTAGGTCCTAGGTATGATGACAAGTTGGGAGTAGGATTTCAGGAGTATCGGAAGATATATGGTCAAAATTATTGTTTAGGGTAACTTGGCCCAAAGACCAGATCTGGTCATTCAAAAATAGTCATCTCAAAACTGTGCAATTTCATGATTGTGTGTCTCTTGTTCTTGTGTCAAGACATCCTTATCTAGTTGGAATTAATTGAGCTCTGAAACATGGTAGTTATTAGTGTGGGGAGTCTATAAATTATTAGTGTAAAGCATAATTACCTGGTCCACTTTTCTGTCATTGTTGTGTACAGTTATTTTTAATAAACATTGATTTGTAATTCATTTGGGTGTAATACACATTTAGTCTTTATACAAAATGAAATGAAATGAAGGAAAAAAGTTTAATTCAAGGAAACTGAACTGACTAAATCTTTCCATTACAGGTTGCTGAACTTACATATTAGTGATAACTATAAAATTTTAGATTATCTGAAGCTACCTGTGAACATTTAGGATGCATGGGTCTTATAGTTAACAGACCATGGAGAGGATAAATAACTTCCACAATGTTATGATAACTCGCTTTAATGTAATCAGTGAATGATAACGAAGTTTCTATCTTGATTCATTTTACTCAAGAAAAGAAAAGGAAAAGGGTTTCTAGGAAGCCTAAGCCAATGTACAGGTTGGTGCACTACAAGTGATTGCAAATAAGCTTGGGCGAACCTATAATAATTGATCATGCGTGATATAATTACATTGTTGAAACAAAAATGCTTAAAGTGATGGTGCTTGGATACTTCACCACATCAATTTTCCAGTCATAAGAATATTAGCTAGATTTTGTATCTCATCTTAATATGCTACCAATTGTACTATCATTATCTTGGAAACAAGAGTGTATTACGATGGCTTTATAAATATATTTTACGACGATTTTATCAATTAAACGAAAATAATGTCATCAACGTAGATTTGGCATATCATCAAATTGTTTTCGAAGTTTTTATAGAAAAGAGTAGTGTCCACTTTGCCTCTAGAAAAACCATTTTCTAAAAGAAAAGAACTTAGCTTATCATACCATGCTATAGGAGCTTGTTTCAGATCATATAATTTTTTTTTAAGTTTAAAAATATGTTCTAGAAATTTTATAATTTTACAACCTGGAGGTTGATGAACATATACTTCTTCAAAAATGTCTTTTGATGGACTATATGATGTAGAATAGTGATGAGTCTAAAAGATCTAACTTTCTTTTGATCTTTTCTTCTGATGGAATATTTCTGATGTTGAGAAGATGAGCGTATATTCCATGAAGTATCTAAGTCTTCAGAATCTTGACTTTGTCTTCAAAATTAGAAGCAATAACTTTTCTGATGAACAAATCTTGACTTTTGATTTGGAAGTAAAAACTTTTCTTTGATGTGTTCAGAACCTTGACTTTGTCACCAGAGTTATAAGCAACAACTCCTCTGAAGAACAAATCTTGACTTTTTTTTGTCTTTGAAGCAAAAGCTTGTTTCTGGTGCAATCTTGATTTCTTATCTCGAAGCAGAAGCTCTAACAGAAATTCTTTCTTCTAGAAACACTTGCGACTTCTAAAGCAGCAACTTGTTGAGAAGTACACATTGATATCCTTCTCTGGAGAACATTTAGCATTCTTCAGAACTAATGATGCTTCTTCAGAAGTGGATGCAATAGTCTTTCTGATGCGTGCTTAGTATATTTCTGATGATTCATCAGACAACAGTCCTGAATCAATTAGAACTTCTAATCTGCATGCTCAAGAAACAATTAGAAACAAAATTATTTACATATAAAATATACGTATTGTTATAATTAAAATCCAGAGATCAATTACAGAATCTAAGTCTTGTTCTAACACTATATATCCCTATGTATCTTTTCTTGTTCGCTTATCTCTTTTAATTTTCTAGTATTCATTGATATTGTTATTGCGTTAGTCCATTATTATATTATTTATATTCCATATAGGTTAGATTGTGCTTATAGAGATTTTATTTATAAACTTAGGTTTGTGGTATATCAATCTTAATGGATTATCATAAAGTGAATTATGTCTTGAACGAAAATCTATGTAAAGAGTTTTTAAATCAAGAAGTTTCGGTTGTCTTGTGAATGACTTATATTAGAAGCAATCAAGTCCTTAATAACATCGCGTATTATTTCACTTGGTTTAATTCATTGAGATGCTTCCAAGTTCTCTTGTTAATGTGTTTTACTTCTGTGTTTCTTAAAATCTCAGATTTCGTTAATAGGACTTAAAATATTTTTGAAATTATCTTAAAGGTAAATGGTCTATTCACCTCCCCCTTCTAAACATTTTCGTGTCCATATTCTCACCCAATAAAAATATCATTAAAATCATTAGAAAAAAGAAACATATATGAAATTAAGTGCATAAATAATTAGAAAAAGAAATTATTATTGATAATGTTTGTATCATCAATTTTTAATTTATGATAATATTACATATTTTATTTATTTAAGCTATATATTATCTCCACATTGGCCACCGGGTCCTCCAAATTGAAGAGAATATCCGAACGGACTTTTTTGTTTGTCATAGTACTCAACTCCAAAGCATTCAGGGGCATCATGGTAAGTTTCTGCCGCATAATGCTCAGGTCCATAATACTGAGAATTAGTTCCATTTTTATATCCAATGTTTTTAAAATAACATGCATGTTCAAAATTCTCATCAGGAAAAGATCCGGATCCCATTTGAGGGCTAGGAACACCGATAGCTATTGTCCCCCCACCCCATCCCACTTGAACAGCTTCTTTCAAGTTGCTGAATAAAGCTTGCGGATAATATCCAACTGGTTTACCGTTAATTGTTATCCACCAATTTTTAGATTTTTCGTCTTGATCAATACTAATTGGCATGTCTACCATCTCTCCACCGTAAACAGATGTCTTTTGCACAGGTGCACCAATGTGATATTGACGGTGGGTTTGGACAAAACCTTGACATTGCGTATTATAGCATCCCGTTTTCACATAATTATCTGACTATCATAATTAAAGAAAAAAATAATTAAAATATGTCTTGATTCTATTTATAAAAGAAAATTTATTTTTTTATATTTATTGAATAATTAATATATTTAATTTATATAAAAATCAAATAAATTAATTATTTAATGCAATTAAAAATATTTTTTATAAATAATTAAATTTATTAAATAACCTATCACTTACTGTCCATGTTGCATAAGCAAATGTTCGATCATTACCATTTATATGGGGAAATACCTATGAAAATTTATACCATAATAGTTAGTAGTCTTCTTTCTACCAAACAAAAAGATTGACTAATAGGATAAATTTATTGTTATAATATAATAAATTTAAACTCACATGCCATCCAACAGTAATTTCATTAACAGCGTCTCCTTCTCCATTTCGGACATATAGATTAGATGCACTTGCTTGAGCAATGCTACACTTTGGATTATAAACACTAGTAGTTCCACTTATTCCATAATAATTTTCACCATATAAAGGTTTAATATATACTTCCGCTTTCTACAAATTCAATATTAATCAAAAATTGAAATATGGATTGATATTTATATATGAATCAAGAATATGCGGTTGAGAGTCAAAACATATCTAAAAATATATTGATAATATAATTAATAAAAATTATTAATATTATTGTTAAATTATTAAAATATGAAAGAGAGAAGTAACAAGAAATAAAAATTTATTTAAAAATAATTAACATTTTTTAAGATTAATTAAGAAAATTTAAAATTACTTTATTTAAGAAAAAACTTACATGAGCAGCGCGTTTAACTAAAATATTATTATTCAATAAAGATTTAGTTCGAATGAGATCTTCTTTTGTTGTCCTTCTAATCGGAACAGATCCTTTAGGACAGACGATTTGGTCAAGTTCAAATCTTATTTTAGTTGGTAAAATATTCACACCTATTTCTTTCTTTTTTGAGTAAAAACTTGGTCGGATCTACATCAACGAAAGAAAGATAAAATAAATCACTTGTAAAATATAATATGTATATTATAAAAAATAATTAACCAAATTGATGAGTATTCTACCTGTAATTTATGATTTTTTAACAAAGGATGATCAAAAGCAGATTGATTTTTAATATCAATACAATCTACTATGTATCCAAACTCTGTCTAAAAAAATCATCAAAATCAAACATAAGAAACGTTTTAATCACATTATATATGAGGATAAAAAATATTAATTAAATATATGAAAATAATACCTGAATACTCTTTATAGGAGGCTTATTAATAAGCTTGAGGTGTCTCTCAAACTCAAAATGTTCTTTCAATGTAATATCACTTCCATCAACTCTATGACTTGAAAGAGTAGTTGAAACCAACATCACTAAGAATATCATGTTTCTCATTTTTACAATTTTGTTATTTAACAAAGTTGCTTGATGATCTAGCACAGTAGTAGCACCAATTTATATATCAATACACTCAAAGTCAAATTCATTAGAATTGATAAAATAATAATTAATCTTATTTAATATAGTAAAATTGTATTTCACCATTTTAAGTAAATATAATTTTAATAAATAATATATTTGATTTAACTTACAACAAATATAACTCTGAAGTATATTTTAATTCAAAAAGTAAGTTAACAAAATTACTCTAAATCTTATTTTTTAATTATTTTAATCTAATAATATTAATTAATTTTGTGTAATCTATTTTAGGAAGTGTAACAGCTGATTAAAATAAATTAGTAACGATATCAATGTTTTAAAAATAATAAATTATTGAAACTGCTGTATTAAAATAAAATTAAAGGATAAGATTTAGAGTATCGGGTTTTATTTATTTATTGTTTTTAACGTATCAGATTTACAATATATCATATAATGAGTTTATTCAAATTGTTCAGAAATTATTATTCCATAAATATAAATAGTTGTCTTTCCAATTTTAGTTCAATTCAATTCACATTATCTCTTTCCGATCATTATTAATTCTTTCTAT